AGATCAAGCACAGCAACGGCAATGAGTGAAACAAAAAACAAAAAAAAAACATAAAAAAAAAGAAAAAAGACGAGAGCTCCCTACTTATAGTTGTGTTTGTTTTTGTTTATGACAACACAAAAATGAGGAGGGGGGGGGGGGGGGGGGGGGGGGGGGGGGGGGCGTTGGAGGAGAGGGAGACTACGATCATGGCTCGGGTGGGTGTTTTTTTTATCCTGCTGATTTCAGACTTTTACAGAGAACTGTACTGGTAGTCTGAACATCAGATAGTTGACAATTGCGAACATTCCTTAACGAAAATTAGGCTAAAGTTGTGAAAATTAGTGCATATCAAGAATAAAGAAAGAATGAAGAATTTACTATACCATCCGTGTGCCCTTCATTGATGTCATGAAACTTGTGCTATTAAAAATAGTAAACAGCGTTTTAAGTTCTTTACTTTACCTTTGTATCAGTCTGTGGTCCTTCATAAAATCAAAAGCGTAATCGTATCTTGTTAGTGGTTCCATTTTGCTTAGCAGCCGCCTTAATGAATTGGTAAGTGGGTTAAAACTGAGGTCTATTATATTAAGCGTCAATCTATCGTATTCGTTATTCAAACAAGTTGATTAAATCGTCAGTATCTGAACAAAAAGCCTAGCGAACTATGGAGAACACCAATAGCCACATTAATAAAACAGCGTCCATAGCTCAAATATCTCGTGCTTTTTAAACTGACAAAATGTTCTTTTTTGTTATTATTTTTTTCTCGTTATCAAGGATTGTATGTAAGCTTACCTTTTTGTAAGCATACTGTGAAAACACCACCCCTTTATGTGGTACCAAAGTGTCGTCTTCTTGCAGACCAGCGCTGTTTAACTCACAAGTATACCTTTTGTCTTCAATTAGAAGGTTAAAGTTTGTGGATATACACCTCGGATCTTTAAGACAAACCTGGCCACATGAGGTAAAGCTCGATACTCTCGCCTGCTTAAAAGAAAAACCCTTTAAAAAGAAACCTTTCTTTGTTATAATGGCGCCCAGAGTGGAACGTTTTTCGATTCTTGTGTCTTTTTCTGCTTCGGCACTGAGAAGGATTTTCAAATATAAGATTAGTAAACCTGCGATGGAATTCATTATGAGTAAACAATTTTCATCGCCACTGAACCTTCTTCACGGAGAGAAGCGAAGCTGCCGCGAACGACCTCAGTCAGGTCCAAGAATCAGGCTATCTTCATAACGGCGTGATAATTGACCCACAAGCAAACTCGACGAGTTGGTCAATGGGCTATTTGAGTGGGATCATTGTATTTGACTACGACTAATTAATTACAATTAGTTCTTGTGTTAATAAAACTTTTAAAGGAAAAAACTTAATTTGAATGAAAAGGGAAATACGAGGTGGGATACTGCTGCTAAAAAATGTCTTTCAAGAAAAAAAGTCAAATTAGCCATACAGTATATCAGTTAGAAAATTACATCATAAGGTTGAATCTAATCCTTGTTATTAATATTTGAGAACTGAGGATCAGTTATGGGCAAAAAGAAAGTTAGACCGTCCAGCTAGTGAACTTTGAGATGTTTTAGGCTATTTCCGATGGGAAAAGTTACTTTCTCTGTGTAAGATGGACATAATCGTTCAATCGGTTACCCCATTGTTGGAATAATGAAGCCTTTAATATTTCTGCACATGTGAAACTTGAAAGACAAAGACATTTAAAAATCAGTGATAATTACATCCAACTTGAGATTTAGAGGTGTGAATCTCAGGTGCAAATCCTTGTAATAATTTGAACCCGCCCATCGATCACTTACGTGGGAATCAGACCCTTTTTTAGTTGACGAATACTTTGTACGATAAAACCTAGTCCTGTTGCCATCGAAAATCGCCTAAGACAAAGAGAAAATGTTCGCCTGGAGGACGGTTCTTTACCCTGAAAATGCGTCCTTGGTCTAAAAACCATCGGCTTGTTCCCTTTTAATCTTTTAGCTTCGTAGAATAAAATTTCAGTTTTGTCGTTATCAACTTTTATAACAAAGGGGTTAATCAAAGGTGCTTACATGTAATGAGTGAGTGATACAATTAATTGAAAATAATTATAATTATTCTTCTGTTCTTAGTTCAATTAAGTAGACAACAATTTTACTGTATTATATTCTGACCATTGATGTAGAGTGTGAAACGTCGAGTCGCAACGCATATAAGTTCGTAAAGCCAGTTTGTTACTAGTGTTAAGCCAACGGTGATTTACGCTTTATGTGTGTGTGTTTCATTATCGGGAAAAACGACACCCACTTCTATCAGAGCCGCACCTGACAGCACTTGCAAAGAGAGACCCATATTGAGCCTCCTTCACTTAGTTTCAGCTTGGGCGAGGGTTGCAAATTAAACTTTTAAAAGCCATTGACACTATAGAAAGATAAAGGATTGGAAGTAGAATTTGCCATGTATGAAAATTCTGTATAAACATGAAGATCTGACTTTTGCGCATGTTGCGTGTTCAGCGCTACGCATGCACAGTTCGAATAAACCCGTCAATCAAGTCAACTTTTAATGGTTTTATTTCTGATATTGTTAAAATTCAAGGTTAATAGTGTCTTATGCAATATTTTCCTCGATCTCAAAGAATAGTAATTAATTAAACTAGTCATTAATTTTTAAAATATTACACTCAAAAAAACGCGGAACTCAGTTTATGAAAAACGCAGGTTGGTAAGTTTTAAAATGACGTTTTGTGTGCAAACGGTGCCAAGGTCTATTCAGAGCAAGGGGCATGAAAAAAAAAAAAAAATTAAAAAACGGATATATTTACCTATTCACAGAGACGTACACTCTGTTTTATCGAGCCATTTATCAATAAATTCAGTACAAATTTTAAAGTTGACAGAGCTTGATCTTAAAGTCTGCCTCGTCTCAGCTAATTTCCGACAAGTGTTGGACACATCTCTCACTGTCGCTCGTTCCTTATTGTTTTCCTGCGAGTGCTATCACTATCCCAAAACCTTGCCGTACTAATATTACATTCTTCGAATTTAAAATGCTCGTTTACAATAAGCAACTCTAGTTTAATTGTTTTCTGAAATTCACCACAATATTTATGAAAACATTCCTTCCTTTAAATTAACTTGTACTTTTACAGCAGGGATAATTTTCTTCTTACTCAGTTTTTTGGAGTGAGCTGGGTAATCACTATGGGAAAATACGTATTACGACCGCCTCGCGTTTAAATACTATAGTGGGTTTATGCATGTTTAAGCCTTTTGGTAAAAGTTTCCCTAAAATAACTCAGACTATAAGGCCTAAGCCAAACGTCTTTTCATGAAACGAGCCAAACTTTTAGAGAGTTAAGTTCATGAAAAGTTCGACGTTTGGCCTAAACCTCGGTTTTAAATATATAATTTTAATCTTCTTCACCGTAGTGTCCAACTGGTTTAAGTTAGGCATCACTGCATGCATTTTCGCATTTGTATTATATTTGGATTTGTTAGCACTGTCGCGATATGTGTTTTATTCAGAATCAGTGGCACTATATTTCTTTTATTTCTCCTTCAAACTTCTATAAAACAAACTGCAGAGAGAAACTTGTGAGATAAGTACATGAATCCATGTACGGTATTAGGTGGCAAAATAGATGGCTTTAAAAATGTAAATTTTCCTCCACAGGAAAAACTGTAAGGCATTGCTATCATGCTGAAGGGAAAATTGAGTAGTAAAGTTTTTAGACCCGGAAGGGAAACGATTTCGTGTTTTTGCCTCATAGCTTTTCATTTTAATAAGAGACAGGAGAACATTTCTTGAAAATAATTTTCCTTTGCAGGTAACTGCAGATTGCTTCAGATTAAGTTTAAAATTAAAAGGGGATAATAAATAGGAAAAATAAATAAGGGATAGACAAAATGTTTCAAACCTCAAGTGATTTAATTGCAAAATACACACGCATCCTTAAATATGGGATCAACTGTTCCTATTTTAGAATTAGACGTTAGAATAAGTTAAATTTTAAAGACCAAAAAAGAAAACTTTGAAAATCGCATTCAAATATCTGCACCGGACAATTCAATATTCAGCTGCATTTGGTATCCTAGTTGCATCAGAGATTTGAATACGACCTATAGAAAGTATTTTGCTTGGGCTTCAGGAAAAATCTGTCGATCGGAAATGATTCGAACAGCTGTGTCTATTTTTTGTCACAATTAATACGATACTATTTCCCTTTTTCTTTGAAATAAATATTTTTCAAAACACATTGCAAAAGTTCCAAAATAGCAGTAAACAGCAGCTGCTTACATTCTTTTTTCAAAATGGATAGGCATCGCGTCACGTCTCTCACTTGGCTAGAAATATCAACTACATGGAAATCAGACAGCCAACATAGAATTCCCGACGGTGAGCAATTTTTCATACTCTTTAACAGTTTGTCTTATTGACACGAGAGCTGATGTTGGTTTTGTTTTCAAACCCAGCCGAACTATTCTTTTTGTGTTGTTCCCTCATATGGTCCAAAAGGCGCTTACAAATATGTCAGGGCCAACAAAATTTTTCTTTTTAGCGTTCGATAGCCCAATAAGTTGCATGACTGGAGAGTGGAATGTTTCCTTTTTATAATATTAAAATGATTAAGCTTTAATATAAATATAATTTTTGTAAAACTAAAATGCTTTAAATCATTGACCCCTAGTCAACAGAAGAATCAGTTGTTAGGGTGGTTACTCATCAAAATGTTTTTAATTCTAAAGACAATCCAGTGGAAGCTTTAAATCATCAACAGCACTTTTTGATTGCATTTGATCCAAGCGAGAAAAAATAATTATGGCTAATTTATGCTATTCCTGGACGTCAGTGTGGTTGTGCCTAAATCATATTCAAAAGGACAGCCAAGGAGTACTAAGAACGAGTTTCCGATTTGGGCCGACTTCGGAAATTCTCGAAATCATCCAATATGGCGGCCCAAACATGGTGAAAACTGACAGCCAAAGGAGCCGTTTTATCGCCAGAGAAACGTAATTTTACGGTCTTGTTAACTAAGTTTGCGTTTATTGTGATTTTTGAAGAGTTCTTAGTCCCGTAATAGTAAGCAATCCTTTTATAAATGTCTTATCACTCACTGCAGTGCTGTCAACTCTCCCGGATAATCCGGGAGACTCCAAATTTTGGACCGTATCTCCCGGTCTCCAGATTAGAGTCTGATATCTCCGGGATAATCGCCAAAACTGCTATTTCTTGTACACTCGACTTTCCGACCATAAAATTTGAAATACTTTTCGTTGTTTAAGCTACTGCGGAAACGTTTTCCCGTAAAGTCTGGTATGCCACTGCAATTTAAGCAATAATGTGGCTAAATATGAACTTTTTATGTGATATATACGTCGATCGGAATCAACGAGCATTTTTGGCACAAATGACGTCATTTGTCTTGTGATATGACGTCATCTATCATTTCTTCCCTATAAATTCTCAATATTTGATGACGTGGGTGGTTGACAGCCAATAGCCAGCCAGCCAGTATCAATTTGTCTTGTCCCGCTGGCCGGTATAACAGAAGAAAATAGTACCTTCCAACGGGAAATCCTAAATTATAGCAATATATGTTGGCATGTACATCAACTCTAGCTTTCGTTGTTAAACTGTGTTGTAGAACTTGATTTCTGTAGGTTTCCACAAGCTTAGTTTATCTATTATAGGAATATTATTATTTATAAAAGTGGCCTTGTCCTTTTGGCCAGTATCACCATAGAAAATAGTACCGTCCAACGGAACATCCTGAGTTTTAGCAACATTAGTTAGTTAGTTAGTTTAGTCAACATGCCTTGTCGTTTTGGCCTGTATTATCTTTGAAAATAGTACCGCCTAGCAGGACATCCTAAACCCATGATTGCTCATGATGTCAGCAGTTGGCTGCATGCATTACTACATGACATGTAGCTTGTTATTGTTACATTGTAATACACACCTTGCTTTGTGAAGGTTTTTTCCTACCAGCTGGGGACCGCTGAACAAAGATAGTTTTATTCATTCCTTGTTGTTGTAATCACCAAAGAATGTTCACCCAGGGGGACACTGAGAACTGACAGTCAAAGGTTACGGTATACTTTGCGATGTTTGAGATTCTTATGTTCTTTGAAAAATTCCCGACCTTTTACTTTAGGCAATTGCTTAAAAAATTTCGTATTAAGTTGTCCTGTCCGGCTGGCCGGTATTACATATTTGTTGTTGTCACAAAAAAGATCAAACAGTAAATAGATAAGGAATTTTTTTAATAAACTTTTTAAGTTTTTCTTCCGTTTTTGCGTCGAATGCTTTTCAAAACATCCACAAACACGTCATGATCTTCTTAACGCAACAACCCTTCGTTTTGAGATGCGTTTTTTTTTAACAAATCACGTGATTTTGCGTACCTTTGTGATTTCGTTACCAACTTTGGTTACGCTGTAACGCAAGTCCTCCTTGCGTGATCAACATGAATATATTTTCTCATGTATGGAATTTGGTAAAGTTCAGAACAGAAAAAAAATATAATTGAGGTTCCTTGGCCTGTTTTATTTTTGTGTAAGAAAATGTCAATCAAGAACAGTTCTGTCCAGTGTCTTATTGTTTTTGAGTGTGACCTGTGATCTGACCTATGATCTGACCTGTGACCTGACCTGTGGCCTGTGACCTGCACTTTGGATGATTTCGAGAATTTCCGAAGTCGGCCCGAATCGGAAATTCGTTCCTAGTACTCCTCGGCTGTCCTTTTGTTAGGCACAACCCAGTTTCATATATTATGTAATAATTACATGATTAATTATAAATACTGCTTTGAGAAATCAAATTAAGTGCCCCATATAAGGCTGATAAAGAAAATAGGGAAAGGTAGTTAGATTACGTTTTATATCATGCAACAAAAGGAAGAGTTTCCTCATTTTTCTTAAAAAAAATTTCAACCAGGAATCTTCGACATACTCAAAAATATTTTTTGAAGCAACATCCGCACAGGTTCTAAACTACTCATCACTGTTAAGTTTTCGTCTTAAGTTACAGCTGTTCCTTCTTTTTAAGAAATACCATTTTTATTCCATGTTCTTCATATAACCCTCTTCATTTATCTTCTGAATGTGCCTTTCTCCATGTCCTTGTGCCCTAAAATTTACTAACAATAACAATAACATTTATTATTTGTATTGCGCCTTTTCTATAAAATATTCAAAATACTAAATCACAGTTTTCGCGGTTTTCGTCTTGCTCGTTCTCTGAAGTACTCTTCCTTTCCATTACAACCATCAACGGGCCTACTTCCACCAACTATAGACGCGAATGAGGGATTTTCCTTTCCGAGTATCTTGGTGATGAGCTCGTCTACACCTTTTTTTTCTGTAAGAATATATTTTCTAGGAATATTTCAAGAATATATCCGAGGCTGAACATCTACTGGAAATGTTTGTTGTTCTTCTTTTTTTTCAACGACGGCTTTAAAGTACACATCAGAGGTTAACAAAGCACATTAGAACGGAATTACGTAAAGAAAAAACTTCCCAGAAAAAAATCCGGTTAACTTAAGTAAAAACAGTAAGGATACGGGACCCTTATAGGTCCCGTAAATTTACGTGCTATTTTTCCCGTAAAAATAGTTTTATGCATTGCGCGCAATTTCTGCTGCATAAACGACATTTAAGTGAAAACTTACGAATCGTAAGTGCAGTCACATAAGTGAATTCCCTAAGTGGACCACTAAGTGATTTATTGCAACTCACTTAAATAGAACGATTTGTTTCTTTTTCGCAGGTAAATTGCAATATTGACAAATTTTATGATTCAGATTTGTCATGGATTTCACTAAGTACTGGAACATTTTCTGGACACTGACATTTGCCTTAACATCCGTGGTTATTACCTTCGGAAATCTTATCACCATTGTGATATTTTTGAAACAGAAACTTCGAAAACGCCCACACTTCCTACTGATTAGCTTGGCCATCGCGGATCTTATGGTCGGAGCCTTCGCTGTGCCTCTGTACATTGCTGTTGGAATTTACACGACTAAAAATCTGTTGATACTTTCATTCCAATGTGTTGATATTTTCACTGGAGTTTTATCAATATTCACCTTGGCTAGCATTTCGTTGGAAAGGATGCACGCTGTTTTGTGGCCTTTACGCCATCGAACGCTGACGTCGCGTTTCTACACGTGTGTTATAGGTATCCCTTGGATCGTAGCTCATCTTGGCATCTTAGCCCGAGTCCTGCTTCATTTTTATATCATATCGAAACTGGCTTTTGTTGTCATCATTATCGTCTCTATCACAAGCCCTCTTCTTTTCACATGCGTTGCGTACTCTCTAATGTGGAGGAAGCAAAAAACCCGTCTTCACCTGGCAAGACAAGCACATCAAGATGACTATTTAACAAAAACACTTTTCATTGTTTCCGGGTCATTTGTCGTAACTTGGCTTCCATTCCACATAATAAACATTATTGCTTCGTTTTGTACTCCGTGTCAAGGCTGGCCTTTTGTGGTTTTTCATCTTATGAAACTACTTCAGTTTGGTAATTCTTTTGTCAACGTTGTCATCTATCCTTTAAAAATTGCTGAATACAAGGAAGCTCTCTTTGAGATGTTTCTTTACTGCCTCTTTCCATCAAAAGCGCCTAAAAAACAAACTAGTATCGATCGAAAATCTGGTAAAAGTTCTTCAAGCATCAAAAGCTCAAGATATCACAGTCGTGACGTCTCCAGACCCACCTTTGTGTAGGTCAGTGTAACATACAAAACAGATACTAAATACCCATGGATTACATGCAGATAATGAACAAGTATTGGATGAGGTTTTGTGATATCCGGAATAATCAAATTAATTCGAGGTAAGTGTTCATCAGCCTAGCCGAACGCCGAGGCTGATAACACTTACCAAGACCTTGATTATTCCGGATATCACTAAAACGGAATATAATGATTGTTTTATTATACAATTTTTTCAAGAAAATAAGGACTTACACGGCATCTTGACATTTTCAAATTGATCTTGAAAATCATGCATTACGCGCAACCTACAGATTACGATTTCCAAAATTTACAATTAGCCAATGAGAAAACAGACAGTGCGAGTACAATGTTTAATAACAACAACAACAATAATAATAATAATGATAATAATAATAATAATAATAATAATAATAAATGAATGCGATGCCCCTCGCAGACAAAGGTTTAGCACTCAACAAGCAAGAGTCCAGAGACTCGCTACGCTTGCGTTATGACTTGCCCTTAGTCGATTTACCAAGTCATTGCATATGTGGGGATAAATTCACCGTTAGTCACGCCCTCTCTTGTAAAAAGGGGGGGGGGGGTGGGGGGGGGGGGGGGGTTGTAGCGCAGAGACAGGACGGTGTACGGAACTTGTTAACGACATTCATCGACATTGTTGATTGTAAATAGGATTTTAATTGAGGTTTTGTAATAAAGATTTTATCTTTAGGTTTAGTTTAAGGAGTGAACCAATAAAAAATATAATTATTATGATAATAATAATAATGATAATAATAATAATAATATATTAATAATTCAGCCGTAGCAGTTAACCTCTGTGAAAGTCAAAATTATTGGATTTTCAGACGTTCCGTGTTTTTCACTATATACTAAGAGTTTAGAGTTTAGCATATGCTTATGATCAAGTCTGAATATTAGAAGTTCACGGCAAAAGTAACCATCTCTAAAATTTTGAGCACGATATGTAGAAATTCTGTTTCCAAAACGGGAAAGTATGTCTCCGTTTGTCTTATTGCCACCCAATAATTCTGGTACAGTACGATTTCGCTTATAAGAAACTGCCCTTTGTCAAGAGAGATCAAGGAGGTTCTTATATATGGGTTAGAGTGAACCTATGATAAAAATTTTAACCGAGAAATTTCACGTTTGAGATAACACTACACAAAAATTCTGCAATCAGTTTGGTTAGGATTTTTATAATACAGTTGGAATACCACACTAAGGTTGTACTGATATTTTTCTGGCAGTCAACGACTCTATCTAACAGAAATTTATAACCTAATCGAGAACCAAATTAGCCTCATTTGCCTAAACTGTTTCAAAATACAAGAACCTTTTTTCCAGACTTCAAAAAAATTTAGGTTCTTACACTCTGGTGTTTTACTGAGTTGTTGACAATTACATACTTAATTTGAAAAGATTACTTAAAGAATACGTAAACCGGCTTCTTCAACCTGTTATTTCATTTCAGTTCATTCATTTTATTTTTTTCGTCCTTAAGAATTTACAATTTATATTTCTACTACCCAGAAATAGCAAAAGTTAGTTTTGGTCGTTAGTACCTGTACAAAAAAAAAAAAAAAAAAAAAAAAAATTTTAATAAGGAGTTTTTTAAAAAATTATTTTAATATAAATAATAGAAAAAAAAAAAAAAAAAAATTCAATATAGAAGATAATATTTTTAAGTAAAAAAAAAGTTTTTAAAATAATTAAAAAATATAAAAAAAAAAAAAAAAAAAAAAAAA